TAGTACGTTTGAGCACGCCCTCTAGAGAGAGCTCGGGGCCCCCCAGCTTGGGGTTAGGGTTTGCTGCCCACGCCATATATGCTGCTGCTAGGCTCTCTACTCTATGCATCTCAGACACAGAACAAACCCTGTATTTCACACACTGCAGCAGCAGCAGCAGCAGCAGCAGCAGCAGCAGCAGCGGGAGCAGCAGCAGCAGCAGCAGCAGCGGGAGCAGCAGCAGCAGCAGCAACAGCGGGAGCAGGAGCAGCAGCAGCAGCAGCAGCAGCAGCGGGAGCAGCAGCGGGAGCAGCAGCAGCGGAGCAGCAGCAGCAGCAGCAAAGGAAAGAGAGGGATTAAAAAAAAAAGTAAAAGGGGAAAATGTAAATAAATAAGGAAAGGGATAAGAGATAGAAACAAAGAGGAGACAGAGAAGAGACAGAAACAGAGAAGAGATATAAAATATATACAAACAGAAAGGAGACAGAAAAGAGAAAGGAGACAGAGAGCAAAGAGACAGAGACTGAAATGAGAAAGAGAGAGACACAAAGGAGACAGAAGAGAAACAGAAAGGAGACAAAAGGGAGACAGAAAGGAGACAAAAAGAAGAGCGAGAAGAGAGACAAAAAGGAGACAGAAAGGAGACAGAAGAGAGAGAAGAGAGAAGAGACAGAAAGGAGACAGAAAGGAGACAGAAAGGAGACAGAAGAGAGAAAGGAGACAGAAGAGAGAGAAGAGAGACAAAAGAGAGAGAAGAGAGAGAAGAGAGAGGGTTTAGGGTTTAGGGTTTAGGGTTTAGGGTTTGCTTACAGTGCGGCCGTCTGTTACCTTCACCCGCAGCAGGCAATCACTCCTTCTATATTTCATACAAAACCGAGCCTGAGACACAAACCCTAAACCCTAAACCCTAAACCCTAAACCCTAAACCCTAAACCCTAATTCCTAAACCCTAAACACTAAAAGCTGAGTTAANAAACCCTAAACCCTAAACCCTAAACCCTAAACCCTAATTCCTAAACCCTAAACACTAAAAGCTGAGTTAAGCGGCTATATGTTCGTTTCTGTATTGGCGTTCTGTTTCTTTCTTGACTCGCAGTCTAGGGTTTAGGGTTTAGGGTTTAAGGTATAGAAATTAGGGTTTAGGGTTTAGGGTTTAGGGTTTAGGGTTTAGGGTTTACTGTGGTTGGGCTGTTGTGGAAGATGTCCCGCACAGACAGGGCGAAGGCGCCCCAGTCCTGAACCCCCACCATCGGCGAGAGATACGAGGGTTTAGGGTTTAGGGTTTAGGGTTTAGGGTTTATATGATAGAGGAAGCAAGAATAAACAGAGGGAGAAGAGAAAGCAGAGAAAACCCCCAACCCCGATAAGCAAAGCGATCTAGGGTTTAGGGTTTAGGGTTTAGGGTTTAGGGTTTAGAGTAAAACACGCAGCAGATACAGACCCGGTGCGAGAGTACTGCACTGGGGTGTACATACAGCAGCTGCTGAGGCCAAAACACAAACCCTAAACCCTAAACCCTAAACCCTAAACCCTAACAACCACGCGGAATCTCGGGCCCTGCAGAAGCCCACAGGGAGCTGTTGTTTCACAGAAAGCAGCGGAGTCCCTCAGACAACTGATTAGGGTTTAGGGTTTAGGGTTTAGGGTTTAGGGTTTAGGGTTTGGGGGTGTGTAGATGTCAGTTGCTGCTGCTGATACTGAAGCAGCGAATAGCAGCAGCAGCAGCAGCAGCAGCAGCAGCAGCAGCAGCTAAGAAGAAACAGAGAAAGCAGAGATAAACAGAGCACGACAGCTCTCTGCTCCTAGGGTTTAGGGTTTAGAGTTTAGTGTTTAGGGTTTAGAGTCTAGGGTTTAGGGTTTAGGGTTTAGGGTTTAGGGTTTAGCGGCTGCATGTAGCGGCCTTCCACAGCCATCGGCGGGCTGTGGCCGTTGGTATGCATACAGCTCGCAAGCAAACGAAATATATATTTATTTCTTTTATAAACAAACAATATTTATTTATTTATTTATTTATTTATTTTATATTTAAATAGCTTTTGTTTTTTTGTTTATTTGTTTACCCCCCATCTGTTTCTCTGCGCCCGCAGCAACACAGCCACAGCAATGCACGCCCCTGAAAACTGAAGCAGCAGCAGCTGCAACAACAACAACAGCAGCAGCAGCAGCAGCAGCAGCAACAGCAGCAGCAGCAGCAGCAGCAGCAACAGCAGCTGCAAGTGTCTGTGCCTGCTGCAGCAGCAATAGTAAAAACGAACGCCGCGCCCTTCATTACTTAGAGCTACACAGCAGTAGCACTAGCGCAGCAACAGCAGCAGCAGCAGCAGCAGCAGCAGCAGCAGCAGCAACAGCTGCTGCTGCTGCTGCTGCTGCTTCTGCTTCTGCTCTGCTGAGCGTTTAGGGTTTAGGGTTGAGGGTTTAGGGTTTAGGGTTTAGGGTTTATCTGGGGTTTGTTTGGGTTTATTATGCTTTCCCCTTACCTC